TATGAACGCAGCCTTATTTGCTACTCTATTTTCGGGTAAGCAGCTTTCAAATTTTCAAGCAAGCTGCTCAGCCGCCTCACTGTGCTTCAAAAGAAATGCTTGGGCAGCACAAAGCTTTGAAACACCTGGACATACGGTATTACCTCAATTCGTCGTAAAGGATGCTGTAAGAGAAATTTGAATTTTTTTTTTGCCCACAATGTGACATCCTTCGCTTTGTTCTTTGTACAGAGTGCTAAAACCAGCACTCAAGGTCAGAAGCAGCCAATCTGAAATGGGTACGAACTCCATTTTGACTTTGCAAATCTGTCGCTACACAACTTCAAAAACGCATTCGCTGTGGATTAGTGTAATCTGTTAAACGATGCGATTGCAACCATGCCTATAACTCATCACGAACGTAAAACCCGCGTAAAATCAATATTGCCACCTTTTTTTGATTACACCGCAACAGCACAGTCCTTTGAAAGCCCAGAGAACAACGTACTTCTATCTCTCTCTACACTCAATAAGACACCTCAACATATACTTGAAAAATGCTCACTGATGCGTCTTACGTTTTGCCACGTCCACAACATTTTTCTAGTTGGTTTACTGATTCAAAGAAGTTGATGCTAGAAATCAAACTTTTTTGAATCGCGCGCTTTAAAGCGCCGTCGGTTCGAAAGTAAGTGCTTCACTGCGTAATATCGAGGCAATGTTCGAGCATGTGTAATTTTGAGCGAAACATGTTTATTCATATTGTTGACGTATATTAACGAAACGTACGTATTACATAATATTCGAATATATCTGCTAGATCACACTTTTTTGTTATCAAACAATTACTTTTGGCTTCATCCCATCATGGCACCCATCATGCCGCCGATCACTGCTCCTCGTAGAGCGCTAGCAACGGGGTCTAAATCAGCATCACAAAATTTAAGCGAATATCACTGAAAAATCACTACGGACTGACTTCTGTTATAACCATAGTTACCGTATCCTCCATATCCCCATCTACGACCGTAGCCATAAGGGTATCCATATCCATATGGACCCCATTGAGCTACGGTTTGAGCGGCAAGCATGGAGACAAGAATGACGAACAAGAGTGCACGATTCATTCTAGGTGAACCAGAGGAGATAAATTTGTAAACAAAGTCTCAGCGAATAAGTTATTATTATTTTTCATGTATTTTTCAGACAGCTCGAAATGATTGGAAAATACATGGAAAATAATAATTAGTGAAAACAAACGAAAAAATTTGACAACACTGAAGGTATTGAAA